AGAAACAGCTCGCAATAGCCACAGGAACGTTGCTGCAAGACAGGCATATGTAACGACGACTTAGCGCTCTTAAACGCGTGTGTCATTAAATACAGTCCTCCTGACAACAGGCCAGTGAAAAATCTAACAATCTACAGCAAAACCATCAATTATTATGGGCGTTATAACATACGTGTGCAGCTGGACGAAACATACACGTCGAACCCCCCCAGACGATTTAAATCCCTGACGAAACATACACGACGAACCACGGCAACGGGTTAATATATCATCTATTTCATACATTATATTTCTGTCTGCAATGCAACTTATTATAATTTTAACTAGTTTTTATTGATTTTAATTAAAGTCCATTTATTTTGAGTTAAAGAGATCGCATTCACATGTGATATGAGAAGTTAGACATACCAAACAGTGCAACAATTTTAGTGAGTTAGAGACACCTGATGATGGCTGTGTACGGCCGAAACACATTGTGAGAAGGAAGGGGGACAATAATAAGTTGCACTGTAGACAGAAATATATTGTATGATATAAATTAAATATTAATAAAATATTCCTGCATAATTGTGAAACCAAGTAATCCTGCACACAGATAATCAAAGGTACACTGTACATATCCTGTCACTGCAGTACGGAAGAGACGTCGGTATTTACATAGTGACATGTGACCCAAGTAACTCGAATAGTTACTGCCATGTTTACCCCCACTCTTAGAAGTTTTTAAGTAAAACAAGACCCAAATCCTAACCATAGGGTCTGCTTCCAACTATAAGTTCAGAAGCTCAAGGTTTTGGTTTTGTTTTTGAAAATAAATATATAATATCCTCTTAAGGTTAGGCTTTGGATTTTGTGTTTACAAATAAACTTTCACAATTGGCAGCGTGAACATGGTGGATAACATGGCATTAAAATTTTAGAGGTTATGCGATAATACAAGAGTTCTCTTGTATGCTTGTGTGGTATGTCCAATGTAAGTGTCACTGTTTTCAATCTCCTTTGATGTTATAAAATTTTCTCTTTCAGTCTGTTGTTGTCAAGCAGATGCTAGCAGTTACAGCAGGTGTGGTGGTATTGCTGTGTTACACGCAGTATGACACTGATATGGACCGAACCAAAACACATGTTGGTTTCATTGCCAGTTTAGTGACAATTCTTTTTTTTGCTGCACCACTAACAATGCTGGTAAGGCATTAGTTTCTCAGTGGTTTAATTTCTAATAGACTTCTCTGTGCATAAGTTCTCTTTCTGAGGACATACAGATATATGTGTGTTTTAAAATATATTTCTCAGGAGGAATCACTACTATCATAGCCAGATTTCTGCTTTGTTCATTGATCATGGGTTCTAAACTTTTAAAGTTGTTGCCTCCGTGGTGTTGTTTTTGAACATAGTTCAATTATCACCAGATGAACTGATGAGGACATACAGTGAAAATGATCCCACTTTCTGTCAGTTAGATTTTTGCAGTCTCATGTGCAGTGCTACGTTCTATAAAATGTATTATTAAAAGTTTGAACTTTTAAGGTGAATAACTTTTAATAAATTTTATAGAACATAGTGTTGCATGTGAGACTGCAAAAACTATTTAACACTAAGTGAAAATTGCAACAGGATGCTACAACATAATATTATGATCTGACTTTGAATGGTTATATTGTTTTTCAAGTGCCAGGTAAGGACACTATTCTTTAAATAGGTCACTCTGTATTAATTTCTGCTTTCCTTACAGGCCAACGTTCTGGACAAGAAGAGTGTGGACAGTCTTCCACTACCATTAATTATGGCTACATTTGTATGTTGTTTACAGTGGCTTATTTATGGATATATACTGGGGGATCCATTTATACAGGTATGTAAGAAAATGTTTCTTAGGTGACAGTTTCTTTTAAATATGTGAATTCTAGAATATTGCCTGATAGCGGCATCTAACAGTGCAGCTGAAGACTCAAGACTGTGACCATAAACACCGACCTTTTACTTCTGACTGACTGTCTCTCTGGTAAATTGCTGCTGGCCCTCACGAACACAGTCCTTCTTGGTTATGAGTCTCAGAGGACTCATGACCATATTTCACTGTCTCACAGCTGTCTAACACAGAGTCAGAGTCACTTTATAACTGGCAGTTTTGTCTTGGCGCCAAGTCCGTTGAGGCTCACAACCAGAGATTTTTTTTTTTTCAATTGAACCTTTGCAGTCAATAGTCCTTATGTAACATCCTCTCTGATGAGAGGATGGGTTTGTCTCTTATGAATATGTTTTGCCCTTGTGAAGTATATGTGTCACACACATGGCATGTTATTGAAAATTCTTCCTTGTGGTGCCCTATATACAAGTCCACTGTCAGGCCAGGCTTTGCAAAGCAGATCATGTCTTCAGAGTCAGGGTCAGTGTGAGTTACTTTATGATTGATGTTTACCACCCATCAGTTTTTCTTGGCACCAAGCCCCTTGAGATTCACGACCAGCAATTTTGTTTTCAACTGAACCCATAGGGTCATAACCTCAGCATGAATGATGTAGAAAACTCTTCTTCCAATAGTTTTTCTTTGCATGTTGATTCATTGTTGCGTAAATGTGTTTACTGTGCTGTTGCGTAGCAGTGGCCAGCTTTATTTATTCCATTTATCCAGCTTTCACCTGTTCACTTCACAATAATAACAGTGGAAGGTGGAGTACACAGTGATTTTGAATGCTGCCTTTCAATTTAGCAGTGTTTATTGGACCCGGTGTTCATTTATTGAAGATACTCATATGTACCTATGTTGGCATTATTAATATTAAATATACTATGCTGCCTAGAGTTTTCAATTAGCAATGGTGAGCTTTGTGACTCAGTAAAAACCTGTGAATTGGATATGACACCAGGTGTGCCTTAGAGTCTGACTAGACAGCATGAAGAAGAGATCTCTTCTGCTATCAGGAATTGAACCCAGATATTCCACTTGGCCAACTTGTTGTAATTTTTACATTAGTCATCTCTTTATTTTTTGATCAGAAAATAATTTGACAACACACATGCCTATTGAAGGAGATATATTCTGTTCTGTTACAGATACCTAATGTTCTGGGCACAATCATATCTGGCTTTGAACTTACACTCTTTCTTATTTATCCTTCATAATGACAAAATTTCCAAGATGATGCTGGTGGAAGAATTCCTAGTATCTAATATTGTTTTATAAATTATTTTAGTATTGGCATTTTCCAAACTGGCAGTAGTTCTAAAATAAATTCTAAGAGTGTATTATCAATAATAATATGTTAGAAAACATGTCTCAAGGTCTTGATAGAGGTAGCCTTTGCAGGATATCGTGACAGACTATTGAAAGTGTATAGAACGTGGTATGAAAGCAATCAAGATAATGACCATTAACATGGCTATAGTAAAGATAGATATCACATTCCATTTGTTGTATTTGGCTCATATGCAAAGGCAGAATTGTAATCACAGAATCGGTGTGTAAAGTACAAATCTGATTTTAAATTCAGACATGTAGGGCTGTTAACAAACTGACATTTTTAATTGAATAAACATATAATATAAATCATTTAATTTGTTAATAAAAACATACTTTATTGTCAGAAATACCAATTAATTTATTAGTAAATTAATAAAAAGTAAGTATAATTTGTAGTTGCAGAATTTGATTTGTTTCATTCTGGTCTGTCACACTAACAAATTACAAAAACACAACAGCTCCGTCCAGTGTGACTATTGAAATTTTTACTACTTGAAAACCCAACGCCCTTACATGTTTCGGTCCCTATAGACCAGTGTTTCCCAACCTTTTTGATGCCGAAGACCCCCTGTACCAAATGTTAATTGACCACAACCCCCATAAAACCCAAAATGCAAATTTTTTATATTTTACATATAATAAAAGTGAAACAGTAACTTACAATTTTGCAACACTAAATGTGTCATTTATGACAATAAAATACAGTTATAAATGGAACTTATTCGGAAGATCACGAACATATCAATTAGGCCTAATATTATGAATTTAACACTCACCTAATCAACGATCCACACTTTAACCACCGATCCATATCTAAATAAAATCGTGAACAAACTGAAAATCAGAAGTTTCGTTGTGAACTCAATTATTTGAACAAGAGCAGAAAAACTGAATACTAAACCGAGAAAAACACACTTGTATAATATTACAAAAATTCACTGCACAAAAACTAAAGACACACAGGTTGTCCACTCTGCCACTGAAATGAATAAGAAACATGGTCAGTGGTCCCAGCTTTATTCCCAACCAAAGAGGGATGGATTTGGTGGGGAGGGGGAGACTGGTCAGACAGCAGGTAAGAAGGACAGCAGTCCAACCTGAAACACGGGTCTGAGATGCAATGGGCCGACCAAAAGAAAATGTCCTTGGAAAAAGCTACACGAATTGTTGGTTAGTCACCTCTGCTTTACAAAGGGAAGAAGTAACGGTACCAACAGTCCCATAAATTTTACTTCAACCATGGGCCTCAAGAGCCAGAGATATACATTGCAAATATCCCAGGTGTAAGGAACATGATAAGATAAAGTTTAATGAAAATAAACTATCCCGCGGACCACAGGTTGGGAACCACTGCTATAGACCATCATCAGAGGGAACATCGGTACTTTTTTGGAAACTACTATCACAGCACACCACAAACAAACACAGGATGATACCAAGAATCTCCTTCTCAAGATAGACAGGCGGCACAAGTTCAGCCCCCATCAAGAAAGATGGTAGGAGAAGGGACACGAACCTACTTGGTTTATAAATTTTAACTTAACAAAGTTTTTAAAAACTTTAATATACCAGGAGGGCTGCTGTAGTTTTGAAAAAGTTGGATTTTGTATATATTGGGCATTACAAACATTGTATGTATATGTATTTTAGCACTCAAAAAACACCTACTGTGATAGTAGTTTCCACAAAGTATCGATGTTCCCTCTGATGATGGTCTATAGGGACCAAAACATGTAAGGGCGTTGGGTTTTCAAGTAGTAAAAACTTCAATACTCACACACTGGACGGAGTTGTTTTGTCTTTGTAATGTAGTTGCAGAGTTTTAAAATTTTGAAGTGGCTTTCTGGTTAGGAAACCAGCAGGCAGAGATGTCTCTTTAAGACATGTCCTAGAGGTTAGAAATTAATGTTGGTAATATAATAATAGAAATATATACATAATGGACATAGAGAATATGAGATTTGAGAAGTAGCTGCAATGATATCCATCTTCTGGGATGTGACACTGCATAGTTTGGTAGATAGGTACCAATCTTTTGGAGGCAGGAGGTTCCGCTGAAGCATTGATACTCATCTACCAGACTGTTCAGTGTCATGTTCCCAGAAGACAGCAGTCTGCACTTAAAAAGTGTTCATTTAGTGAAGCTCAAGTTTTGAATTCTAAGAAAGTAACTATTGCTGAAGATCGTGGTCTTCACGGAATGTATAGAAAGAGTAGCCGGTGAGTAAAGAATTAGTTAAGTATTGAAAGCTGTGACTTTTTTATGTGTTTTTATGACTTTGCCTTCTGTGCCTGGAGTTGTGCTTCTACTGAGTGTACTTCTTAACAGAGTTCATGAAATCTGAAACACTTTTTAATTGTTTATTTAAAACTGCAGTATTGTTTGATGAATTTTATGATAATTTTGGAAATAACCTTCTGAATGTATTATTTTACATATCAGTAAACATTATTATTTATATCTTCACATTTCAGTAATGACTGCTGCTTATTGTCACCTCTTGGTTTATATCAGAGAAGTTTGGTTGATATAACTTATATAATATTTCATAGAGCCATGTTACATGCAGTATACTCCACTTATATGTGCTAGTCAAGAGGAAAAGAAGCAGAAATAATAAAAAAAAAACACAGATGATCCAAGATATGTTGTGGAAATTCAGAAACTTATGCATAGCATAAAACTTGCGGAGCAAATGTACCGAACATGAAATGTGTATTTTATTTCTCTACATCATTTGTTCAGAATTTTTTTGCTCCACTATAAATTTAGTGAGTTACATTCAGTATATATGGGGGCTCTTTGGAAAATAACCTCCAGTGAGCTGTTAACAAAACAAGCATTGAGAAAAAAATGTATTATGTACAAAAAAATGCATACATACTTAAGCCACTTCTCAACATAGTCACCACCAGAACTGAGGCACTTGTCATATCAGGGAATAAGTTTTTGTATGCCTGTGTCAAAGAAGTCTGCCAACTGTGAGCTCAGCCACTTTTGCATTGTGAAACACAAAAAATACTGCGTACAGCCATTCAGAACAAAAGGCGTGGAAAGCTGACATCCAGTGTAGTGCTCCTCAGTGACAATGCTCGTCCGCATACAGGTGCTCGCGCTCAAGCAGTGTTGGAGCATTTCAACTGGGAGTTGTTTGACCACCATCCTTACAGCCCTGATCTCGCTCTGAGAGACTGCCACCTGTCTCACCTTATCACAGCACTCTACAGTAATGAGGAGTTGATTAATGGAAGGTGTCAAAACGCGGCTGAGCTCAAGACCAAAGCCTACTGGTGAACACACTCCTGAGCCACTTTCACCCACTTAAGACCATAATCTGTTTTGATATGCTAATAGTAATTAAATTAATAAACTGTTATTTGTACTGAACAGTGTGGGACAGATGGGGAAAAAGTCCTTGCAAACTCACAGCTGTTTTGTTGGTCCATGAATCAGAAAAGTTTCAGAATCACTGAATATGAATATTGAGTAGTGTGTGTCAACTTTATCACTCTTGCTTTGATCAGAGAAAAACACTGTGCTTTAAATGTATCAAATAGGTTTTTGATATGAGGAATGTCTCCTTAAAACACCGAATATGTGTTGTAAATAT